AGGATCGACGGCTCAGTGTTGGGCCGAGAGCGGCAGGCGTTGGTTGACGCGTTCCAGGATGACCCTGGGGTAGGAGGGGTGGTGGGGTTGGGAGGTGGGGGCCGGGGCCTTGAGGGGGGAAAGCGGCGTGGCCCTGCGCGCACGCAAGTGTGTTTGGCGGCGACGGCCAGAGGAGCGGCGTGCATGAGTTTGTGATGGGGCACATGTGTGTATGTGTGTTTGTGTGAGTGTGCGCGCATGTTTGGATGCGGGTGTGGATGTGCACATGTATGTATGTGTGTGTGCATGTGTGTGTGTATGTGTGTGTGTATGTGTGTGTATGTGTGTGTGTGTGTGTGTGTGTGTGTGTGTGTGTGTGTGTGCGCGCGCGCGCACGCGCGCGCGCGTTGACCGCACCGCAGCTTCTACTCGCGCTGTCAAGGCGGCTTTGCAAACGCCAGCGCCGCGCACCTGGCTCCCCTCTGGGCTGCCCGGCGTAGTCGGCTCGCGCAGCAGGACAGCCCGAGGGGCACGACCCCCCGCGCCCCCTCGATCCGCGCAGGTCCGAGTGGCCCTAATCTCCATCAACGCCGGCGGCCAGGGACTCACTCTGACGGCCGCAGACAAGGTGCCCCGGCCGCGCCGCGCGCTGCGCGCACGGAGGGGAGCCGTCGGCCGCCGCCGCGCCGCACGGCGCGCGCAGCTGCGCGCGCCGCGCCCGCCCCGGGGCGCCCCGCCCCCCGCGCCGCCTTGATGCGCGCTGCGGGTTGTTACGGCCGGTCTGCTGTGCAGCCTTTTCGGCCTCGTCCTTTCTCTCACGCATCCACCTTCCGTCTGTCCCCCTTCCGCCCGCCACGAGCTCCAACCCAATCGACATTGGATCCGTCCCCAACCCTAATCCCCCCCCCCAAAAAAATCCTAACCTCCGGCGCCCCCCCAGGTCGTTTTTGTGGAGCTGTGGTGGAACCCCGCAGCCCTCATGCAGGCCGAGGACCGTGCCCACCGCGTGGGGCAGGGCCGGCCGGTCAAGATCTACTGTGAGCGCGCGCGCACGCGCGCCCGGGCCGATCGGCCCGCGCGCTGGGCGGCACGTAGGCGCGGCCTCGGGATCCGGGGGCCGGCCGGGGAAAGCACAGAGCCCCGCGCGCGCAGGGACTGACGGGCCCCTGGGGGCTGTTTCTCTCTAAGGAGGCGCCACGCCGCGCGGTGGCGCCCCCAAACACCCAGTCTGTGCCCGCTTCCCGCCCGATTTCAAACCTTGGACAGACCTGGTCGCCCCGGGCAGCGCTGACGAGGACGTCTGGCGGCTCCTCAATTCAAAGCTTCAGGTCACAGGGGCGGCCCTGGGTGACGGCCAGGCCCATGTTGCGGCCCTCGACCTGCCAGGCGCGCCGCCGCGCTCGCGCACGCCCTCGCCGCCGCCCGGCAGCGAGGGGGCGGGGGCGGCGGGGCTGGGGGCGGGGGAACTCCAATACGTGGTGGAGGCGGCGGCTGCGGCGCAGGGGCAGCCGTGCAGGGGCCGCGCCCTGCAGTGATTCCTCAGCAGCAGCAGCAGCAGCAGCAGCAGCAGCAGCAGCAGCAGCAGCGGCAGCAGCGGCAGCAGCAGCAGCAGCAGCAGCAGGCGGATGATGATCTTGATCTGGACGACGCTGACCTGGCGGCAGCCGACGAATTCCTGTCGCAGCACGAGCAGCGGCTATCGCAGCAGGGCTCCCATGCAGAGCAGCGTGGGCAGGAGGAGCAGGGGCAAGGGCAGGGGCAGCAGCGCGCCCTCCAAGAGATCGAGGGGGAGGCCGGCCGGGCCGTGTCTGCTACCAACGGCGGCTGCTGCGGCGGCGGCGACGCGGCCGCAGAAGCACGGGGCGGCACACAGGCCTCGACGCGGCAGACGAGCAACAACAGCTCACAGCCCGCGCCGCTGTCGCAGGCCGTGCTGTCTCAGGCTGAGCAGCCAGGGGGGCGGCGGCTGGTGCCGTCTGAGCACTCGGGGCCGCCGCCTTCGTTCGACATCGATTTGACGCAGGAGGTCAGCGGCTGACAGCCACGGGTCGCTGTGCACTACAGGCCTAACCGCTCAGCCTGGTTGGATGTGTGTGTGTGTGTGTGTGTGTGTGTGCGCGCGTGTGTGCCGCCTGCCTCGTGCATGCTGGGTCCTGAACCTACCACCAGAGGCCACGCAGCTCAACGGCTTTGCTGACTGTATGCACAAGTGTTTCATGGCCCATTCGGGCAACCCAAGTGGATTTGCACATCTGGGCTGCTGTTTGTTGGGGTTGCAAAATCAGCCGGGGTCAGCGGGCGCGCGCATGGCGGTTCCTCGAGGCAAGCCATCACTGGATGCTGCCTGGGTTTGATGCAATTGGAGCGGTTGGCAGCTGGGCTCATGTATCTGACGCTGCTCATGGGCGTGTGGTAATGCCTTGGATCAGTGTGAGGTTTTTCCTCACACTTCGACTGGCAAGTGGGACGAGCCGACGCCTGGGGCAAGTAACCTGGTAGGGTTTCATGGCACACGAGTGCTGCTGTCAAGTTGACGCAGCCAACGGTGATGCGCTACTGTTCATCAGTCAGCTCATGCGTTCACATGGTGACTTAAGCCGCGCTTGTATATTGATGTTTTGCTTGCTGTTTCATTCGGGCGTGAGTACCCCGCACTGCAGGCAGGCCGAGTGAGTTGATTCTTTTTCGTCAGGGCATCTCGAGGCCGGGTGACCAGTGCGGCGGCTGGCTGTGATACCGAGAACTCAGGACAAGACGTCACGTTTGCCATCACGTCTCTTATGTTGTCTGTGGTCAGAGGAGTGACTGTGACACGAAGTACGGGTACTACTTCACATCGCCCACCTCCTTACTAGACGGTGCGCGTCCCGGGAGGCCAGAGCGCGCACGTTCATACATGTTCTGCGCAACGCAGCAAGCTGGGAACCTTCGGTAGAGGCTCCGCACGTTGTTGCATGCCTCGCACGGGCACCGCTACAAAAACAGCCGCGCGCAGGGCCTGCGAGACCTCGTGAAAATTTGACGGCGTTATAAGCACTTGGCAGCGCCAGCGGATAGGGCTCAAGCCAGTGCCAGCTGGACTAGTGGGGTGTCACTGGTGTCAGGGCTGCAGTACCACTGGCTCTGAGCCACGCGCGACGACGCAGCCGCCGCACGTGTATGCCAGTCCCTGCTACGGCGCAGCCACCCACCCTTCTTTGGACACAAAATTAGTTGCAGTCCCATGTTTGCGAGCCCCTCTCTGGAACCGGTTGACAGCCATCCGCCGCCTGGCCGCCCGCCCTGTTGCCCTGCAGTGGCCTGCCGCGGAGGCTCCTGACGCCATGGCTTGTGAGTGGGCTGGCCTGGAGCGCGCTCTTGCCATGCCACGTGTTGCGCACGCCCTGCCGCGCTGCTTCCTGCATGGAAGCCCATGCCCGCCCCTGTTGGCCTCGGACCGTTGCCCAAACGCGCGCAGCCGCCTCAAAGATTCCCTTGTGCCCGGGAAAGGAATCTCAGGAAGGCCATCCCGGCCTCACCGTCGCGCCTCATGTCACCCCCCTTACGCCCTGCTGCCTGCCCTCCCGCCCCCCAAACCACAGGGGCTCAGTACACATGGATGATTGTCATCCACGGCATTGTCGCCTTCATCGATGCCTATGTGAGTCATCGCAACCATGTGGATGTGCTGCATGAGTTGAGCCGCGTTGCTGTTGTGACGGGCTGCAGCGAACAGGATGCTTCGCGCCATGCTCCACATCCCAGCGCATCACCCTTTTCCCCCCACCGCTCCCCCCCCCACACACACATTCCAGGGTATTGGCGCCAACGATGTTGCCAAGTGAGTTCGCCCACGCAGCCCACCAGGCGACACAGCCCGCCTGCCCCCACGCTTCTGTCCTGATGTCAACCCACCAGCGATCCTGTCGGCTTGGAGTCCTTCACACGCATGCCTGCTTACGACCGCCACGTGCCGCACCCCCTTGCTTGGGTGTGATTCGACGCCGCCCGCCTCCCCCCCTATGCTGACAGTGCCTTCGGCACCTCTGTGGGCTCCAAGACCCTCAAGCTCTGGAGCGCGGTGGTCATTGCAGGAATTTTCGAGTTCTTGGGTGCGGTAAGTGCGCCAGCCCCCGGAGCCGCCGCTCCATTCTGAGCTTCCGATGTCGCCACCTTGACTGTATATGTGAGCAGCCACCCCAACTGCGGTGGCACGCCGCAGCCCCGCCCGCCCCGACCCACACCCCACGCGCGGATCAATCCGTGACTCATCGAACAGATGCTGCTGGGCGGCAACGTGACCAAGACCATCGCGGGCGGCATCGCCAAGACCTCCACCTTTGCTAAGTTCCCGGCGATCTTCATGTTTGGCATGCTCGCCGCGGAGGTGGGCGCCTCCACCTGGATCCTCCTGGCCACGTACCTGGAGCTCCCCGTGTCCACCACCCACTCCATCATCGGCGGCGTCGTCGGCTTCGCCCTGGTGTTCGGCGGCGGCAACGCGGTCACCTGGTGCGTCCCGACGCCGCGGCTGCGGCTGCGGCCCGGCTGCGGCTGCGGCCGCGCGCCTGCTGTCGTGACCGCGGGCGGTGCTTCTGGCCTGCAGCCTTGCGAGCACCAGCATCCCCCCTCCCCTGCCCCACCTTCGTCCCAGCTCACCCTGAACCATCCAAGCCCTGCCTTCGACCGACCCACCTGCACTCAATCCCTCTCGCTCCCCAGGTACACCCGCACCGACAGCTTCCCCTTCATTGGCGGCATGGTGCCCGTGTTCGTGTCCTGGTTCCTGTCGCCCCTGCTGGCCGCCCTCATCACCCTCGTCCTCTTCCTCGTGATCCGCACGTTTGTGCTGCGCCGCAAGAACTCCACCTCGATCTCCTACTGGGTGCTGCCCGTGCTTGTTTTCGTCACCATCTTCATCAACATCTTCTTCATCATCACCAAGGGCGCCAAAAACCTGGTGTCCATCCCCGTCGAGAAGGGCGCCTGGATCGCCGCCATCGCGGGCGCCGCCGCGGCCGTGGTCAGCTCGCTGATCCTGTTCCCCATCATCCGCAAGCGCGTGAAGAGCCTTGACGAGGCCCCCACCTCCAAGGACGCCGAGGCCGGCGGCAAGCATGAGGACGTTGAGACCGACCAATTCCAGCAGAAGGTGCGCGGCCCGCAGTCCCTCCGGCTCCAGGGCCCTCGTCTGCCTCGGGACGACTGGACCGCCGCACGCGCGGGGGCCGGGGCACGGCAGCCCGCCTTGCAGCAGCTGGCTTTCGCTTTCCTGGAAGGCGCAGCCACTGCCGCGGGCGGGAGCACGGCCGCGGCGACTGTGGGCGTGACGCTCGCGGGCAGTGCGTGTGGCGCGGGCAAGCCGCCGAGCGAGCGCTGACCTTGTATATACGGCAATCCCCCCTTTCGGCTCTCAACATTGCAGATCGCCGACAGCCTGAAGCCTGTGGAGGTCGACCCCAACGACAAGTCGGTGGGCGCCTTCTTCAAGCGCTTCAGGTGCGGCCCGGCTGAGCCCCGCTCGGCGCCGGGGACGGAGGGTGGCTCCAGATCGATGCACGCGACGCATCTCGTCCGGCTGGGCGCATAATCTCCACAGCAGCTCGGTGGCTTCGAGCCTTGTCCCCCCTCACGAGCCACGGGTCCCGAATCCCGCAGCCTGGCGGCGGCTGGGTTGTAACTTGCCAATGCACACGCAATCTCTGAGCTTGTTACGCTGTGCGCACCCGCAGGAACGCGGCCCTGTCCGGTGTTACTGTGGACATCCATGATGACGTGAAGGACGACCAGAACATCATGGCCATGCACGGTGCGCCCGCGGCACTGCCGCACGCGGCGCACACAGCTGTGTTCCCGACGAGGAACCGGCCTTGTTCGTTCGGATGGCCAGCTGCGCGGCCCCAACACGAGCGCCGCCGACGCACCCCTGAGGCGCTTTGACAGTGGTCTGGGGCGGCACCCGCCCAATGTCGGCCCCCAGATTTGAAGGCCGGGCGCACCCGTCGGGCTGCCCTTGGTGGGCGTGCCGAGCACACCCCCACCTCACACAGACGACACCCCGCCGTGCCCGCCTCTCATCCCCCGCCCCCGCAGACGACGCCGAGAAGTTCGACCCCCGCACCGAGGAGGTGTTCAAGATTCTGCAGGTCCTCTCCGCCTGCGCCATGTCCTTCGCCCATGGTGCCAACGACGTCGCCAAGTGAGCCCGGCCGCTGTGATGCGGCGCCGCACCGCACGGCTTTATCTGCGGCGGCCTCGTGGCGCTGCTGGCACCCGCCGGCGCTTCGCACGCACGCCGGCAAAGCCGATGACGCAGGCGGGGTGTGCACGCGAACCCCCGTGTGCCCGAATCCACAAAACTAAACATCTCATCGCTTCTCACGTGCGCGCGGCACCTCTCTCTGTCCGCAGTGCCGTCGGCCCCTTCGCCGCTGCCCTCTATGTGTACGAGAACCTCAAGGTGCCCGGCAGCAACTCCGACGCCCCTATCTGGGTCATGGCCCTGGGCGCGACCGGCCTGGTGGTCGGCCTGGCCACCTACGGCTACAACATCATGCGCGTGCTGGGCGTAAAGTGCACCCACATCACCGTGAGTGGCCGCACTCGCGCGCACGTGCTCTGCCGCGTCTGTCCCCTGCGAGGGGCGGGGGCTGGGGACTTGACTATGCAGGGGCCCTGCCCAGATGACGGGCAGGGCCTTTGTACGCACTGCTGGCCTGTCTGGCGGCCTGAGTCAGGGGACCGCAGCACGTAGTCGGGATGTCGCGGATTATTGGGCAGCCTATGCGCACGCACTGATGATCAGCGAGTGCTGCAGCGAACAGGCTGGGCCGGACCATCACTGCAGCCTCCCTGACCCCCCGCCTGCGCGCCCCCGCCCTGCCCCAACCCCCCAGCCGTCCCGCGGCTTCTGCATGGAGACCGCCACCGCCCTGGTCATCTCCGTCGGCAGCGTGTTCGGCCTGCCCCTCTCCACCACCCACACCATCTGCGGCGCCACCGCCGGCGGCGGCATTGCGGAGGGCCGCTGGAAGGCCATCAACTGGGGCCTGTACCTCAAGATGTTCATCGGCTGGTGGGTTGCGGTTCAGGGTCTGGGTTTTGGGCGGTCCCAGTGTGGCAGGGCCTCCAACTCTGGGGCAGGGGCGACTGAGAAGTGCCCACCCTGGCCTCGGGCTATCCCTCGTCTTGGAGGGGTGCAGCAGCAACGCCCGGAGGGCCGAGCGGGATCCTTGCAGCCGCGGGCTGGGGCTGGCCCAGTAGTCATGCCCGACGCAGCCCGATGCAGCGTGCCACTCAGTGCTGTGACACCAGTTCTTACGCCTCAAGCCGCCCCCAACCCTCTGCGCGCAGGGTGGTCACCCTGGTCTTCGCGGGTCTGGTTACCGCTGTGGTGTTCTGCCTGGGCATCTACACCCCCTCCCGCATCGACGAGGCCGCCTTCAACGACCTGGTGCAGGCCAACATCAAGGCCGCCAACGCCACCCTCAACTCCACCGTCGCGGTGCGCGCCGCCTGTAGAGGCACGGGCACACAACTGGGCATAGCGCCAGCCAGCTCCGTCTTTGAGCCCTTTTTCCTTGGCACGCAATAGAGGAGCTCGCGCACTCGTGAACACAAGCACCCTCAAGTAGGGCGAGTCAGCAGCCAGCTGTGCGCTGAGTCAGTCGCTCCCCCTCTCCACCCCTGCCTGACCCTCCTCTTCCCTTGTTTGATTGCGCACCCCCTTCCCCAGGCCTTCCCCGCCTCTGCCGCCGAGGCTGAGGCCCTCTTCAACACCACCGGCAAGATCAGCGCGTCCGGCGTGTGGCCCGAGGCGTCGGCCGTGATCGCCGCCACCCAGAGCGTGAAGTGGTTCGCCGGCAACCAGACCAAGGCCTAAATCCTGGGGTACAGGCCTGGCGCCGCACCCTGGCGGGCGCGGCTACACTCCTGAGACCGTCAGCTTCCTTCTGTCCGGCCCCGCCGCCATGGCCAGCCGCCCGCGACGGCGGTACAGGGCAGTGACTTGCGGATCTAACGTGCTCAGCAGAGACATTTCATGGGGTGACTCGCCAGGCTGTGTGGTCACCACCCCCCTCCCACTTCGACCTTGGTCAGCCTGCTTTGTTATCCAAGCCGAAGGCATAGCCTTCGTGCTCACGGCGGCAGGCATGCGTGCAGCTTCCTTGCTGGCGCCCCAACACTTCCCTGTTTGTCCGGTCCATTTGCACCCCTTGGATTATTCCAGGCAGCCGGCCGGGGTCTATCAAGACAGCATGGCTGTGCACACACGATTCCCCCACACGCGCGGCGGCTGCTGTTGTAGATGAACACCCAACATCCCCACACTCCCCTGGCTTCGCGCCAGGGGGAGTCATTCGTTGCCCGAGGTGCGCACACAGCCACCCACACTCCCTTCACGCCAAGCACCGCGTACTTTGGCGCTGGCAAGCCCGGAGAGGCTCAAACGCAGCCAGCTGCAACTGATCAAAGGCATCTTGTGCATGGCAGGGACGGTGAATGCGACAGCCTGCATGCAAACCGTCTTGCACAACGTTAACGATTGCCACTTCCGAGTGGTCTTGGGCTGAGCGCGCGGCGTGCTGAGCGCAGGTCCTGTTGGTGCACGCGCCCTCGGTTTTGGGGGACAGTGAAGTTGTTTTTGGCACAAAGAGAGTAAGTCCTGCAACGACCTGATCCCCGCTACTCCGCAGACCAGATCCTGCTGACCATGTGCATGCATGCTGGTGTGCGGAGTAGCGCTTGACTCAGCCCATGCATATGAGCTGCTGAGCATACATATGAAGGGAAGTGGACCTTGCAACAAGCTCACAGCTACTAAGGTGCACCCTCTGTGGAGCCACAGTACATCTGAGAGCTGCACATCCTAGCAAGCTGCAGCTGCAGCACCCTTGTCTTACGACAAACCCCCGTCTTGGCAGCACTGGAACTTCACTCGCACCTGGGCAGGTAAAGCCACAGCCAGGCTGGCGCGCCAGCAGCAAGCAGGCGCAAAAGCAAGGCGGCCAGGTTGTGGTGTGCTGGTGACAAGCATCGTTACATCAGCTAGAGCAGGGGTCAACACAGCTGGCATTGCGGTGGTTGTCGGTTGTGCAGCCTCTCTTTCGGCGCTCACAGCAGTTGCCGCAAGCGCGGGGCAGCAAGGGGAAAAAACAGGGCAGCCTGTTGCAGCGCTTGGCCCGCATTGCACGCTGGGGTGTGCCTCATCGCCCGCCGCCCGGCTTCGTGGCTGCAAACATCACGAACATGCGCGCGCGGTCGCGGGCGTAACCCTCCAGGCCGACAGAGTTGACCAGGTCAACGAGCTCGCCCTCGTCCCAATAACGGATGGTGCCGTTGGCGCCGGAGAAGGGGTTCAGGGCCTGAGGTTGGCGAGGCGGAGGGGAAAGGGGTGGTGTGGGGTGGGGGTGGTTGCAAGCGGTTGGGTGGGCAGGGCGGAAGGCGGGAGGTAGCCGGCAGGGCCTGCTGGAATTAGTGTGTGCAGCCGTCAGCCGCCCGCGCCAACTTTGACGAGGCTCGATGGGGGCCCGGGCCTGGCTGAGGGACGCCATGGGTGGGCGCGAGGTGCACAGCCGAAGGGGCGGCTGCGAGGAAAAGATAAGCACCTGCCGCCGCCGCTGCCGCCGAGCCAGGGCTTGTCTGCAGCAAACAGGATGAACCTGTTGGCACGGACGCAGCCGCGCCAGGCCAGCCCGACCTGGCCGGCCAGCTCCCGCAGCTCTGCCTGCTCCCACTGCCTGTACGTCGCCGCCCGCCCCCGCGCCCACGGCGTGCGCTCCAGCGCCTGCGCCGCAAGGGGGCGGGCGCCCGCGGGCGCACCGCACCGGTTGCTGCTGCGGCGCCTGGGCCCACCCGCACCCCAGGCATTTACGCCTGCGCCGGCGCGGGCCGCCGTTCCGCGGCCGGCAGGTCCATCGGCGCCGCCGCAGCCGCGCACAAGCACAGCTGCGATCCTGTCGACCATACATGGCTTCCTGGGATGCACCACCCCGGGTCCTCATCCACGCGCAGCCGCCCAGCCACGGCGGCCCTCCCCAACGAGTCGGGCGCGCCACAGACTCCCAGCTGAACCCGGCCCGCGCGCCGCGCACCTGCGAGATCGGGCGCACTGTGTCGTCCCCGAGCAGCTCCCCGATGGGCGCGAAGGGCGTGAGGAACGTGGACGCGACAAACACGCCGCCGGGGCGCAGCACGCGGCTGATCTCTGCGAGTGCCGCCTGGGGGTTCGGCCTAGGGTTTTGTGGGAAGTGGGTGGCAGGGAAGTGGGTGCGTTGTGGGGGTGGGGGCCAAGGGGGCGGCTGGTCGAGGGACGGGGTGGCTGCGAGGGCGAGAAGCTGCGTTCTGCAGGCCCAGGTGTGCGGGCTCGCAGCAACCCCCTCAGGACCTCCGTGCCCGGAAGCGGGCAACCCGCGCAACGAGCGGCGCGGCGCGGGCGCCCATCAACACTCCGCATGGCGCCGCACCCTCGCGCGCGCACGCGCAGGTGGACGGCGCCGGGGGCGGGGCGCACCAGCAGTGGATGGCGGCGCCCGCATGGATCGCGTCGACGCTGCCCGTCGCAAACGGCAGCCGCGCGATGTCCGCGCGCACGCACACGATGGGCGAACTCCTGGATGGAGGGGAGGAGGTGCCACATCAGCGCGGTCAGCGAGGGCGTAGCGGGTTCGACAGACCCAGCAGGCTTCCAGTGCACAAAGGTGGCTGGCGGCAGTATGGGCAGGCCGCCGTTGCGGTGCTATGAAGAGGTCCCGCATGCTGTCACTATGCCGCTGGAGCTGGAGGGTTCAGCGGGCCACGCGCAGCCCTCAAGGCACCGGAGCCTCGCTCTGAGCGCAGCGGCCGCCGCGGCGGCGGCCGCGCCGCGACCTCCGCCGTACTCGCCGGCGCTCCGGCCCCAAGGGCCCCTGCCGCGGTGCAGGCTCCACCCCATATGTCCACCCAAAACCGCGCCGCTGCAAACCGGACTCGCGACCACGCCCGCCCTGGGGTGGGCAGCATCGAGCGCCCCTCACCCTGGGGCCGACAGCTCTGGGGAGTCTTTGAAGTAGGTCTGCGCCTGCTGCAGCATCGTCTCACTGTAATCGAGCGCCACCACGCCGTCAAACTTGCCGCTGCGCGCGAAGAGGCGCGTGAACAGGCCGGTCCCGCAGCTGGCGTCGACCTGGGGGCGGCGGGGCGGGGAGGGGT